GGGCAAAGGTCATTGGTAATATCGACTATTCGTAAAACGGACGTTTGCTGGGTGTTTACCCAAAATATTACAAATAATTTCTGAAAACCAGACTAAATGAGACTACTTCGATGCTGTTGTTAGCATTGGTGAAGTACGTTGTTTCCAGCCAGAAGATGATAATGGTGGTACAATACAACAAAGCTGGCTCAGATGCCTACGTTACGTAATCGTGTCCTTGTAATCCGAGCCGACTTTACCGTTAAGCAAGTTGATTTACCGTTATTCTAGTTAAGTCACTTAACTTAAGTGACTTAATTCCTTTAACTAGCTATAATTGAGTGGTTCACGTCGAACTTTTAACTAGTTAAGTGGATGTATATCTAGATAAAAGTTCGACGTGAACCAAACTCTAATCAAAAGAGAGAGCAGAAATGTTAATTAGTTTTCCAGCAAGTTGTCAATAAATCACATAGGCATACCTATGGTATAGTATAGTATAGTATAGCTGACCTTGCATAGGCAATAAATTACAAAAGCAATGATTATAATTCAATTAAAGAGCAATTACCAGAGAAAGGCCTAATGTCCCAAAAGATGGTTGGAAATCAGGAATATTTTTAAAGGGTAGAAACACCTCATGCTAGCTGTACTGCACTTTCTGTGTAAATTGAGGGTGCAATTGCAAATGATGGTGCTTAGGCGAAATTTGATTGGCTAAATCTATGGCAGCCATCTTGGATGGTACACACACACAGCTCTGCTTATTTCGAACATCGAATACATTGCAGTTAGCACTCTAGTATTCTTATTATTATATCTCAACAATGACCTCATCTCAGTAAGTTTCTTATCTTAAAATAATATCTATAAATCGCTATACCCACTAGTTAATACGTTGAAAGTATAATAAAAAAAATTACTTAGGTACGATAATATGCAAAATCTTTGGAATATCATCACCTGTCTTCGCTCTGTTGCGATCCCGGGCCTAGGTGACTCGAGCAAAGGAAAGGAAACACATTTTCCCTGCCACAGACTTACGGGCGTCCAGAGATGGTGACCTAGATGGAACCCTAAAGATAATGCAATCTGGAAAGTTTAAAAAAGACACATGTAATATTGTCAGGGGGCTGATCCCATTTATGAACCTAATAAATGTGATGAACAGAGAGCAAATGTAATGGTGGTATGTCCAATGAATTTCTAGTTGCTACTTTTTCTCGGAATCACCTGTAGCGTAACACATTTAAGCTCTCTAAGTTGACCTCCATACAAACAGGTCAACGCTTCTTCACCCGTTGATAAAATCTCATCCTTTGTAGCAGGTTCAAAGAATACTTTTGCTTGCTTCTTAAAGTTTAACTTAATGGAACATTAATTGGCTTCAGAAGGCACTGTGCCAAGAAACTTGCAACTTGCTACCTTTTTACATGCTGACTGGTTGTGATAAAACATCAAGCTTGTTCGAAGTTGGGAAAGGAGCCACACTGAAAAAACTAAGAAGAAATGTTTTAAGAAGCAAGCCAAAGTATTCTCTGAAGTTGATCAAAGGATGAGATTATTTCGGCGGGCGAAGAAGCGTTGACCTGTTGGTATGGAGGTCAACTTGGAGAGAGCTTAATAATGCGCTACGCTACAGGCGATTCCAAGAAAAAATAGCAACTAGAAATTCATCGGTACAAGTACATATACTACCTCCGACTGAAGCAGCAGCTAAGTATCATACTGCACAAGTTTATTACCGAACCCTCGTTTGGATGGAAAAAGATTTGAATGCGGAAGAGTCGGGGTGGTTGTAGCTAATGGTAGATTTGAACCTTAATAAACAAACTTGCCACCGGCTCCTGAAAATCTTATGAAAGTTATCCGTTACATGACACGCGAAGATGCACATGTAGAAAGCTCGGCTTGGAATGTTCTGTGGTGTGTGGTGAATGCAAGGGGATCAATTGTACAAATTCGCCGGTGTTGCCTCACAAAGACATTATACCTATAAATAATATTAACTACTGGTAACTTCTACTGTATTTGTTTACGTCAAGTCAATGAAATACTCACCATTACATTTGCTTTCTGTTTATCACATTTTTTATGTTCATAAATGGGATCAGCCTCCTGACAATATTGCATGTACTGTCTTTTTCCGTATTGCATTATCTTTGGTGTGCCATTATCTAGGTCACCGTATCTGGGCACCCGTTCATCTGTGGCAGGGAAAATGTGTTTCCCTTTCCTTTGTTTGAGTCACCTAGGTCCGGAATCGCGACAGATCAGACACGGGTGGTAACATTCCAAAGATTTGCATATTATCATACCTAAGTACAATATTTTTTAAAATTATAGTTCTAGCATATAAACTAGTGGGTATATAAGCTATTTATAGATATTATTTTAAGATAAGAACCATACGCTGAGATGAGGTCAAACATCAAGTCATAGTTTCATCCGTTTTATGTTTCAACAATCTACCATTGTTGAGATATAAGCCACATGCTGAAATGAGGTCAAAGGTTGAAAGTCATTGTTGCAGTCATTTTATGCTAAGTTTCATTAGAGTGTATATAAATACATATTCTGAGTAAATTGACACCAAACTTATATCTCTGGGATCAGTAGTTACCAAGAACTGCCAAATACATGACAAATTGGTGGCCATTTTTGTTTTATGCAAATTAGCATATTCCATAGTTGCGTTCACTTTATGCTAAAAGGTTTCATTAAAGTGGATAAATATACATATTCTGAGTAAGTTGACTAGTACATTGAAATCATACTAAAGTAAACTGTACAACACAGAACATTGACCAGAAATGACTTCTGGATGATTGAAGTAACATTTACTTGACTGCTCGGTATAATATTTTTTGGTGTGCTGTTTATTATTGCATGAGATACTAATTGATTTCATGTATGAAATAGTTTGCAAGATATTTATAATTCTATAGATTGTTATGAATGAAATGATTTGCATGAGATACTAATTAATTTCATGAATGAAATAGTTTGCATGATATTCATATTTCTATAACTTATGAATGAAATGATTTGCATGAGATACTAATTAATTTCATGACTGAAATATTTTGTATGATATCTATTCTATAGCTTGTTATGAATGAAATGATTTCCATGAGATAACTTGTGTTATTCGTGAATGAATGACATAGTTTGTTGTATCTTCATAATATTTATAATTTAACTATAATAGATTATTTGTATGATATATTGATTATGTTAAATTTAACTATTTTGCATGTTATGTCCATTCTTCATTAATCTTAAATTTAAGTATAATTCTTTATTTATTATTCTTTATTCTCAACCAACAGTGTAAAACACCAATAATAGGTTGAAATACAATTTTCAGTAAACAGCATAAATATATACAATACAAATTAAAAAACGAGTTCATTAATAATACTTTTAAATTGCGAGTAATTACAGTTAAAAATATCCAAAAAAATTATTCTTTAAAAGACAAGCATTATAAGCTGACGAAATTCTACGGAAAATACCATTTTTACAAACATTTACACAAGAATATTTAACATGAAGAAAAGGTTTATAACGAAGATTACGAACAGGTAAAAATGTACATTAAAATTAAACATAGATACAAGATTACGTTTAAACTTAGAGTTAAGACATTTGTACAAAAAGTATAAATCCTGTCTTGCTCTCCTAGACGTCGGAGAAATGATAGGAGGCCAATTGGCTGCTGGGCCGATGAAGCGCAAGAATTTTCTATGGATTCGATCTATTCTGGAAACTTGGAAAGCAGAGAGAGAGTTATATATAACTGAGCAAAAATTGAGTGATGGTTGGATAAGAGATAAGTAAAGTGCACGTTTTGTGTGTGGGGAGAACTGAATGCAATTGCGCCACATTAGCCCAAGCAATCGATTGGCCTTTTTAACGATGTGGTCAACATGTGAAATAAATTTCAGTTTACGGTCAATAAAAATGCCGAGGTCACGATAGGAATTTACACTTTTAAGGACCTCACCTTGAACAGAGTAAGCAAAAGTAATAGGTGTATTCTTAAGAGAGCAAGACAGGACTTTGCAATTATCGGACTGACTTCAGGGACATTTTCCAGTCGGAAACCCACTTGCCGAGTCTTTCCAGATCTGCCTGGAGCGCAATGGAGTCCTCAATGGTGGTAATGATTTTATATATCTTGAGGTCATCAGCGAACATGAGACAGCTGGAATTTTGGAAAATATTAGGTATTTCATTAACAAAGATGTTGAACAGAAGGGGGGCTAGAATGGAGCCTTTAGGAACTCCCGAGAGGACTGGGAGAGGGTTGGAAGTAGCTCCTTCAAATACTACTCTCTGGAACCTATCGCTCAAGTAACTTTTAAACCAGGAAAGTAAGTTACCGCTAATGCCAAATTGATGCAGTTTTAATAATAATAACTTATGGGACAATTTATCAAACGCTTTACTGAAATCAGTGTAAATTATGTCACATTGATTTTTAGTTTCGATGGCTTCATATACGGTAGACAGAAGTGTAGCAAGATTTGTATCACAAGATCTACCGGGCATGAAGCCATGTTGTTCTTGAGAGATAATAGGTGAAACATGGGATAAGAGTTGAGCGTTAATAAGCCTTTCAAGAATTTTAGAGATGGTTGGAAGTATAAGGAGATAGGTCTATAATTTTGGACTATTAATTTTGAGCCATTTTTATGTATTGTGACGACATTTGCGGTCTTCCATAGGTCAGGAAAAGTGACAGATGTAATGGAAAGTTTAAAAATATTGGTAATGGGTAAGGATAAAGTGGAAGAACAAAATTTAAGAATATGATTGCTGATAGGGTCATTTCCAGCTGTCTTATCCACACTGATTGACCTCAGAAGATATTCAACGTCATGTTGTTGAAAAATGACAGTATTGATGACATCAACATTGAGCCCAGGCAGATCCAGGTGCTCCGCAATAGCAGAGTCCCTGAAGTCCGAGAAAGCTGAAACAAAAAAGTTATTAAATAATGTGGCTTTTGCCTGCGGGCCGTCAGCGACATTATCCCCATCAGATATAGTTATTGCATTTGGCGTAGTTTTCCGTTTGCACTTTATCCAAGTCCAAAATCGCTTAGGATTTGTGACAAGGTCAGAAGAAATACAATTAAGGTAAGCCTTATACCTGCGGTTTAATAATTTTTTGAAATTAGTACGGGCCACACAAAAATTTTGACGAGAAATGATCGACGGAAATTGTTTCCAAACACGATGATAATGTTCTTTAGACTTTAAGGATTTGACAAGCTCGGCATCAAACCATTTAGGACTTCTTTTATGAATTTTAATGGTGGGGACAAGGTCCCTAACCCTAACAAGGTCATAAAACATTCCAACACGTTCATTAATATCAGATGTGAAATCAAGAATATGCCACAGAATTTTTTCAAATGTGTTATTCAAATCACCAAAATTGGCTCATCTATAATTATAAAGGTATCTAGATTTGTTATTATTAATTAAATTTATATATACAAATTGAAGTGAGATTGAAATAGAGTTATGATCAGAATTAAAGATATTCTGGCCTGCAGTAGTATCAGAGATAATATTATTATTATTGCACAGTACAAGGTCTAGAATTTTACTGTTACATGTTGCAAATTTATTGCACTGAAAGATATTGTGACCATGTATTATAGAATACATAAAAAGTTCTGAGAAGGAGTTTGCAGGTACTGAATAAGTACCATTGTCCAAGTGATATCTGGTAGGTTAAAGTCTCCTATAACCAGCAGGTTATGATCCAGATAATGTTCAATGGCTGTGTCAAGTGCGGTAATCAAATTATTAATGGATTCTCTGCCAGAATTGGGGGGGTCTGTAATAAATAGCAGCTATGATTCGTTGATTTCTGGATACTGTGATTTCTACCCAGATGAGTTCGTTGCTATCATCTTCGAGGTCTACGATTTTGCGACTTTTTATTTTATTTGATATATAGATGGCAACTCCCCCTCCTCTGCGATTTCCTGGTTTTTCACGTCTATATAGATTAAAGTTTGGTATTTCTAATTCTGAATCGGTAACGAATTCCTTCAGCCATGTCTCAGTAAAGGCAGCTATATCGTATAATATATCATTTGTATGATATATGAGGCATGTTGTGGCAAAATGGCTAAGTTGTAGCAATAATTGAAATTCAAGTTATTGGTGTTTTCAGATACCTGAGTATGTGATCTTTAAAATGAGGGGTCATTCATTGAAATTGGTCATTTCATACCTAAGTTATTGGAAAGAGAAAGTACAGTCAAGATAAACATGATTTTGAGTAATTGCCTTCCAAAGTTATTTGTGCATACATTGTTTGATAGAATTAACTATCTAAATAACATTAAATAAACGATTTGTTGACCACTTCCAGAACTAATACTTTTTGGCATGATTAATAAGACATTAAACTGTTGATCTATAGCGACAACAAAATTTGGATTTTTAGGCAATTTTTTGAGGTCCTATATTTTATAGCTCATTTACTCAATACTGGCCTGTGCGACAACTTAACCATTTCGCCACCACATGCCTCATATTAATATGTTGAATTTAACCATTAATGAAAGTTATTGATAAATGCTAGGCCTATATGAATATATAATTAATATTGATTAGTGCATATGTGATATTCAAAATTTAATCAAAATAAGTATGAATTTAAATGTTAGTTAGTACTGACATGTGGTCAGAGATCACTGTAATTTACATAAAGAATTGCGTATATTGAGATTCAGTGGTTTTGTAATAGATGAATAAATATATATTTTGGAAACTTCTTCACTGACTTTTTATGCTTTAGTATGCTGAACATTTTTAGTATGTTGGCCAATCAGAGAGCTTCTTATGTCTCCATTGTAAAATATTAATCTACCTCATTTTAAAATGGCACAATGGAGAAATGGTATATCTGCTCAATAAGATAAAAGTATAATTAACTAGAGCAGTCATTTCATAGAGTGCATATCTCTGCCCTGTGCCTGAACAATATGCAGGCCATGTGCAATGGGTGAAACTGCAGCATACCCTCAAGGAAATAATGGAATTTCCCATTGTATTCAGGTACAGTACATCAAAACATCACTCAGTTGGCCGGAAATAATTGCCAAAAAGTGAAGTAAATCACTGTCTAGTGCAGGGATGGGCTTAAAATCGGTCAGAGGGTCAAAGTGAATTTCTGATTTAATACCGAGGGCCGCACCCAAACTTTGATCTTTCCGGTGCACTTCCAAAAACTGCTTTTACACCACTTTATTCCCAGTTTTAATGTCACTTTTTACATATGGTCAGTGATGGGCCGTAAAAAACAAGGGGTTTTAAATTCACATTCGCGGGCCGCAAAAAAATCGCTGTCAGGACGCATGCGGCCCGCAGTCCGCACTTTTGCCATCTGTAGTCTAGTGGCTCTCCGATGCCAATGAGAACATAGATTAGCATAAATTATTCAAGTAAAATAAAGCTATCAATAAATTTATAAATATATGTACAAAATCATCAGTGAAATCAGTCAATAGACCTTTTCCTCCGAAAATCATATATTTATTATTGTATTTTAATTGGTGTATGTGTAATACCAATTTGCTTCTTTGCTTTTACAGGTCCAAGGCCTACGATGCCTGATAGCAAATTCTCATGTGTCTGTCTTCATGGTGATCGTAGGCCACAAGAAAGACGAGAAAACTTGCAACGATTTAAGGTAAGTGGCGTAAAATTTGAAGTAACTGTAGCATACATGCCAACTGTCCTGATTTAATCAGGACAGAGCTCTAATAAAATACCAGAATACCAAGTTTAAACATGGAATAAAGTTGTAATAAGGCGTATTTCTGAGATAATTTATATTTGAAACCCCCACCCCCTGTTTTGCCACTAGATTTTTAAAATTTCAAGGCATATATTGAATATGTTGTGCTTAACAATGCCATTCAATTACTGTAGCTAAATTGCCAACAGAGGTTATTATAAATATTTAGTGTTTAATGTATAATATGTATGCCTACTAATAGTGACTCATATTATAATTGTTACCCATCCTAAACCCAAAGAGAATAATCTATTAAGCCAACTTCAATCAAAATTTGTATGGTATACATGGGAAAGTTTATTGCAACACATAATTCTAGTTATTCTACATTTTAGAGTTTTGAAGTTGCACTACTTATCTGTACAGATGTAGCAGCAAGAGGCCTAGACATAAGTGGTGTTCCATATGGTAAGTTACCAACTAGAGAAAAACAGTTTTTAAGTTATAATTCATTCCCTAAAATGTACTCTGATTGGCTCAACAATGTGTCTCCAGGAGTCTTCGTCACTCATAACTGTTGACAAGTCAAATGTCTGTTGATTGATGTTTTTAGCCACACAGTCAATATAGTTCAGTGATCTGCCTGGAGGTGCGGGGAAGTCTCATACAGAGAACATCAGAAATTACCTTCATAAATAACTGCTTTGGTCTTGTGTTCGTTCCAGGAGATACTGACCCCTGTATGTGCCATCAAGTTGGTTCTGAAGGTCTTTCTTCATGGTCCAAGTTCCTCTTCCATATACAGTGGGAGGATGCTTTCTACACATGCTCTAAAAAAAGCAAGCATGGTTTTCTTTGATATTATTGTAAAATTCCTGTTTGTTTTCCCGTAGCGGCAGTTTGATGCAAAAAGGGAAGGCGTGGCACAAATTAGTGCACTGTGAAATTAACTTTGATTTTCGTATGCTAATATCTTTGGAAGTACAGTGCCTATAACCTTCAGATTTTGTGGTGTAGGACATCTTTTACTGCTAATTCCAAATCTGGAAAAGTTGTAGCATTAACCATTGCGGAAAAGCAATGGTCTAAAAATGGGACAAAAACCAGTCTGGACCAACTTTTTGCATTTTTGGAGGGCTGTGTCTGGGGAAAATAAGCTTAGTTAAGTTTTATAACTATATATATAAGTACTACTGGGTGTGGGTTATGATTCCTAAAAATTTGGAGATTAAAAAAGTTGGAGATTAAAAAAGTTATTCTTTTTGAGTTACGGCTACCTGAACAATGGTACCATACAGGTTTTTGTGCATTTTTAGACCATTGCTATTCCGCAATGGGTACATGCTACAACTGAGCTGAGTACCAAAGCTGGAATTTGGTGTATAAGTGGATCTAATATATCTGGTTAACTGGTGTAAATTTAAGAAAAGATTTTAACTGTCCACATGACGAATCGTTAATGGGAAACATAGGCTTTTTTCACTTTTTTAGGGCTGGTCCCAAATTTGAATGGATGCCATTACATTCTAATTCATTTGATCAGCCTGTGCTTGCTTGTGGCTAGAAACAACTACCCATAGATAATATATCTGTAATTTAAGATGTATACACTCACTCATAAGGACACAGGGTGACATTCAAAATTACAAAAAAATTGCATCGATAAAAAACAAAGTGGCTATTTTGAGTGCAGATAACTTAAAAAAAGAAGGGATAACAGTTAATCCGATGCCATATTTGTGTAATATGGTGGAATATAAGTTTGACCTTGATAGCTATTATCAATTCAGAGTTATAAGCTTTCAAATTTGGAGGAAATTGTGTTTGCGCTTCTTGAAGGGCCATGCCCCTTTTTTGAGGAGTCAATATCTCAGAAACTACAAAACCTATAACACTAATTTTTTTTAAGTGTTGGTTTTTCACATAGTGGATCATTTTTATGGAGTTTCATCAAAATCTGAGAGGGTCATACTGGAACTTTTTTGAAATTTGGTTGATTTGACAAGGAATGACCCAATGGAGTGAGACTCCAAGTAAGATAACAATAAACAATAACAAGCAGTAACCAAAAAAAGTAGGCAGACCAATAACAGTGTGATACAAAGATGGTGGATAAATAGTCAATACAATAGAGACCAATATTAAACTATATGAAGTATACCATACATTAGACTGTGGTGGGCTAGAAAGCCTGTCTATATTCAGTCCTAAGTTAATACAATCAAGTTTAGTGATGATCTTTCATTCAGCCTTTTCTCTATTTAAACTATTATTAAAATTACCCTTTCTAATAACTTTGACTTTCAGGTTATGTAAGTTGTGGCCCGGTAAATTGAAATGTTGTGCTACTGGTTTCTGTATGAGTGTAATGGCATAAATCAAGTTACAGAATGTGCACGTGTATTTTGATGGTCTAGTTGTTGGGTCCGTGTATAACATCACTAGAATCAATGTGGATGCAGAGTTGACAGGTTTTGGTGTTGCAAGGAAATGTACCATGTGAAGTGTTAGTTAACAAGTTTGCTTTTAGTGTGCTCTTTTTTTGAGATTGGGAGGTTGTCTGTGTGCAATTAGTGGTTTTTCAGTAAAAATGTCCTTAAGATCAGAATCTTGGAGTAGCGGTTGTAGGGTGTTTATTATGCATAGGGGCTTAAAGTGCTGGGTGGTAGGTAGCGACAAGTGTAGTGCGGTCGGTAGATGTTTTGTATTTGAGTAGGTCTGTGCGTGGAATGCGTTTTGCTTTGTTCATTTGTTCGTCAATAATGCGATGATTATATTTAAGGTTGATGAATGTTTGCTTCAGGTCTGTGAGGTGTTTGTCCCTCTCAGCATATCCGGTTATAGCGTAGTGACTGGCTGTAAACTATGAATTTGGTGAGAGCTTGTTGCATGTAATTATTGGTGCATGTTAGTAGGTTTCTTGTATATGGATGTGTTGAGATGCCCATTACAAACCTGGATTCTAGTGTCAAGAAAATTAACAGGATCTGTAGACATATCTATAGTAAATTTTATAGATGGATGAAAAGTATTAAACGATGAATAAAAATTCTGTAGAGAATCCTCGCCATTAGTCCAAATAATAAAAATGTCATCAATGAAACCTAGATATAGAAAAGGCTTAATAGAACATGAGGAAAGAAACCTTTGTTCGAGGTCGCTCATTAAAATATTAGCATATTGCAGCGCCATACAAGTTCCCATGGCTGTGCCGTTAGTCTGGAGGTAGAATGAGTCCTTAAATATGAAATAATTATGAGTCAATATAAATTGCTTGCAGATTGTGTCGGAGGTTTCTGTGGTAGTGTGCGATGTATAGCTGCAAGTCCATTAGTGTGTGGTATATTTGTGTACAATGAAGTAACATCCATTGTGGCCAGTATAGTGTCGTGCGGGAGATCATTAATCCATGGCATCAAGTTTTATCAGAAGGTCTGTAGTATCCTAGATGTAACTGGGTGCGTTCATAGCATAGGGTCTTAGAATGGTATCTACGTATTTGGAGATTCCCTGAGTGATGGTTCCTATACCTGAGACAATGGGGCATCCTGGGTGATGGCTTTAATGAATCTTAGAAAAGATAAAAAGTTCCTGGTTGTGGAGTAAGGTGAGTATGAAGGTTGTCAGGTATGTCGTTGAGAACAGATTTCATCTCTCGTCAAACTTCTTTGTAGCATCTGACGTAACCAGTAGCTGTCGGTGTTGGATAATTGCCTGTTTGCTTCTTTGATGTAGTCCTTTGTGTCAAGTAGCACAATAGCTCCACCTTTATCTGCTTGTTTGATGACTATGTTCTTGTTGGTCCTTAATTTGGTAATTGCATGTCTTTCCTTTGTAGAGAGGTTACTAACAGTGCGCTGTTGTTTGTTAATAATCTCAGATTGTACATGGTTACGGAAACAGTCGATATAGAGGTCTAGTTTGTTAGTGCGTCACTCTGGAGGTGTCCATAGTGTGTCCCGCTTTCTGGAAGTAAGGCAGGGCTGGCACTGTTGGATGGGCAAGTAATTGTTGACCACATTATTAGTAGTGGGTTGAGTATGAAAGTATTCCTTTAGACGTAGCCTTCAGAAGAACGCTTTTACTCCCTTCTAGTTATATAATAATAATAATAATACACATTTTTAAAGCGCCTATTAAAGAAAACAAAACTGGCTTGTTATATAGGGCATTAATATCATTAGTATAAAACCTCAGTACTTTTTAGGCTATCAACGCAATTCCCAACTATATATAACAATTAAACAAACTTCTGCCTATATATCTAAGGTACTGATATATTACAACATTTAAGGCTCAAACCGGTTTGGTCCATTTCTAGGATCTAGGATATCTCCTAGTTACAATTTCAACATGAGAACCCAGTGGAGCTGGGGCTGAAAAAATTTCTTGTTCCTCATCAACCGGTATTATAAACTCTTCATGGAACACTTGTACTCGGTCATTACCACCCGGGTTGTTACCACCCTTAATCATCTGGTTAACATGTACATGACAAGTTCCATTATCCCATTTAACCAAGTATGTTGCTGGTCTTAAACGTTGTAGAACTTCAGATTTTACCCATTTCTCCTTCTCCCGGTAATTTCTAACGAAAACCGAATCACCTGGACAGAATTGCCTTAATGGCTTTTTCCTGTCCCGACCTACTTTTATTTGAAGTTGTTTTCTCTTTACAAACTTAGCCAGTGACAGTTTAAGGAGGCTTAACCTTATTCTAGGATGGTTTACAATTAAGAAACAGTTCTGCTGGTGTACAACCCGTGGTCGTGTGTGGTGTGTTTCTATAGACAAGTAGAAAATTTGAGACCCGTCGGTGAGATTAAGAAACTTCTGCTTATCTTTCTTTGCAAAGTCCAAATGAGTTCGCTCAAATTTTCGTGTAGCCCATTTCCATGGGAACAAAGCTGCTTGTGGTTGGCTATCCTAATAGAGGAACATGTGTAACAATTTTCACAATATTTTCGATGTCACTGTCCAGTTTTGGCCACCAAAAGTACCCTCTGGCCAAAGCTTTCATTTTACACATGCCTTGGTGCTCGCTGTGTAATTCATTCACGCACACGCGTTTTGTAGCTTCTGAGAGATCAACAATCTTAACCCCCATAACAGTACACCGCATTCTACTGATAATTCGTCTATGCATATTTTAAATGCTTTTATGCTGTCATCAGTTGTAGCAGGCCAACCAGTCTGAACTTCCCATAGTATTAAGCATACCCAAAAATGAACGACGTTCTTGCACATTACATGGTTTTGACGCTTCCTTAATGTTTCACTTTTTCAGGGGTTGGCACTATGCCATTACCACTAATCATGTGACCTAAGTACACTACCTCTGTAAGCATAAATTTACATTTTGATTTATTTAACCTCAATCCATACGTCTCCAATCGGGACAGTACAGCTTCCAGGCGTTTGAAGTGCTGTTTTTCATCAAAATATATCATCTAAATATTAACAAATCA